CCCTGCTCCCTCCTCCCTTGTTGTTCCCCATTCTCATCCATTCCCACAAGGCGTAGGCCTCATTCCCTCATCTGCCCATACGAAACAACTTTAACTCCGGGACCGCCGCGTCGCCAACCCGTTCCTCCCTGACGTCGTCCCCGGAAAATTCTCCAGACACCATAAGCTCCTAACCCGCCCAAGATAGACGCAATTACTCCCCCGATTAGCTCCCCGATCTGGCCGTCTCCTGCGCCCCCTGACATCTCGTGTAGGGTAGCGACGTCATCAGACGCACCGATCTTCACAGATGGGGAGGATTGCGCTCCCCCTCCGCCAGGGCCAGGAGCTTTGGATTGAGACTCCGGTTTTTCGCTCAAATAGTTGCTCAATACCCCATCACGTGTCCCGGGGGGGCCATCTGTTTGGGATTTTTCAGCATCCCCCTGTTCCTGTGTTTGTTTTCCGATAGGGACAGAATTTATAGTAGTATCTAGGGATTTCACGGTTGTTAATTGCTCTTCTATTGGCATCCCCCCCGTGGCTTGCCTAGATTTCCATTTACAATTTAAATCTTTATTGCCGACACCCCTGGTTTTATTTGAAGCACTTAGTGCCTCAAAGAGATCCTGCCCCCCTATCTCATACTGCGGGTTCTGCTCCTGTTCCCTGTCTTGGAAGGTAAACCACTGGTTCATAATTTTGCGTGCAATCTTTTCATTGCCCCACTGCCTTAATGCCTGAAAGACTCCTTGACAGTAGTTTTTTTCTATTGCCATCTGAAGGTTTACGCTTTTGGAGGTATCCGTTAACTCCAGTTGTATCATCATTATTGTTACTAGTTCCATACATAGCCGTAAGGATCTATGATCTCTATTGGTCCTCTGGGTTACTCTTTCCGCTGTCAGGTTTGCCCATTTCAATAGATCGTTCCTAGGGCTACATGGGACATCTCCGCTTCCCTTCTCCTTATTTGTGTACTGAGTGTATGAGCAACCCCCAGTCAATAGTGTTCTGCCCCCCACGTTAGATATTTTCCTGGTACTGATCCAGGCTTCTAGGTCCCGACATATCTGATTACTCAGCTTATATATATTTGTGACTTGGTACTCCTTCAGAGGGGCGTCTTCCTGGCTCTTAATCGCTTTCAATGATTTAATCATCTGAATTCTATCGCCAAATAGGTCGCATTTTCCTTGGGGAGTGATCTGGGTCCTGCTACACTCATGCAGTCGTTGGTATTCATCCGGTAGTCCCCCTATATAACCCTCAAAGACGGAGTTTTGGGGGTCCGCCCCCATATTGTAATACTATCCGCCACAGGTACGTCCCCTTAATCATCACTCGTCCGTCTGTCCCTCTTTCGGTGGTCCTCCTGTTTTACCCTTCTTTCAGTCCTTATTTGGGTTTTCCTTATGGTCTGGTGTCATGATTTATTCGAGATGCTCACCTACTTCCTGCTGCTCTAGGTGGGCCCGTTTTTACCTGATCTTTACGCTTTACCTTCGCTTTCATAGATTTATGAGTTTTATTTTTTCTTCCTCTACAGATACCTGCGGCCTTTCCCCTTTTAGATCTCTTGTTCATACTTCTTCGAGTTAGTCCTGGCATAAAGTTCATTCTTTTTTGTCAGGCCCGTTCCGCCCCTATCCTCTCAACCCTCTCTCCTCCACGGCTCTGAATTCTACCGCTCCCCGCCCTCTTCCTCCCTCCGGCCACTTCCCTCTCAGAGGAACATATCAGTCACTTGTTGTCTCTTCAGTCTCGGGATACTACTCTTAGCAAAATATTCCGATCATCCCCGTATTATTCAGTGCCGGATCACTCGGACAATTTTCACTCTATACTATACTTACCTTCCCCGCAGATTGTTGTTCCTTCCCCTTTTCCTTGCCCCTCGGATTTCCCTGAACCCCCTCCACACTGCCCAACCTGCTGATGTCCTCTATCACGTCAGTCAATCCCCTCCGCTTCAGATGGGTTTTGATCCTAAACATAACTGAGCTTCCCTCTAGTTCTCCTGCCTTTGGAGTCTGGTAGATACTGCTTCCTCTGCCTGGGTGGAAGTCCAGAGGAATTTCTCCTCCCCACTTCTAAACTTGAAAGGAAAAATCCCCGATATCTGCTGTAAATATACTTCTGTGGCGTCTATTATTGTTCTTCTGGGGTAATTGTGGAGGTGGGTTTTCCCTGTATCTTCAGTGTCGAATTATTTCCTGCCCAGAAGTTCAAGTCTACGGATATTTTCACTTTGTTTTTAGTAACTCAACCTCTGGATTTGCCCTGTGGTCATCGGCTTTCTGAAATATACAATTGGTCAGTAGTGCCTCCTTATCTTCCCTTAAGTGGGTTAGCCCCAGTTGATGGAAGTGGATTACTTCTTATCTTCTGTCTATTCTGGTTATAAACCTGTGGGAAGCTAAGTTTTTAGACTTCGGTATTAGTGGTGCCTGGTCTTATCCTTCAGTCAATATGTTCTTTGGCCGGTGAACTTTTCGGGATTTTCATTCCAGAATCCTCAGGGCTCATATTCCTAATTAATCAGCCGCATCTCCCCTTCTATAAGGAGATGGAGGCTTCATCTCTCATTAGAGCCTCTAGGCACTTTTGGTTATGCCCCAATCTCCTATTGGTCCAGTTGTACTATATGAACTCTTCATCTTCTAGTTACTTGCCTATGGACTCCTCTATATATTCATATACATCCACCTCTTTATATCCCCTTGATCCTATAACTATCTCACAGCTTTCCTGAGCCGGGTATTAGTTGTTCCGGGTTGAGCTTCCCTGGAGGCCTGTTTTCCCTGTAAGAGCCGGAGATTGTAGGGGCATCCTACTCCTATTACAACCTTAATGGAGTCATGGGGCCCTGCTTCACATAAATCCTCTGTTATACTTAACTCGTGCCTCCTGGTGTAGTTGGAGTGAGCTGCTGAGGCGTGCTTTTTTTCTGTAGAGGCTATAATATCAGCTTAGTCATACTTATCCTCCCGGATTCTTCCTTAGTGATTTCATCCGTCCCCCGCTATACTTTCCTTTTGTCCAGCCTGGCTGTAGGGGAGAAGAAGTCAGCCAATTTTCATACTTCCATGGCTTTTCTATTCCCCCACATGTATCTGTTTCGCTTATTGCCCCTTCTACTCATTGTTGTTGCTTCCTTACATCCTGCCTCTCAATGTTTTAGCACTGACTCAGTTATCAATGCCGACTCATCTTTATTACATTCACTCTCGGGCGACTTCGGCATTCATTAAACATTAAGGCATCGGGGGCAGAATTTTCTACTCCCCTGCCTTATTCTTATTCTACACTCCGGATACAACTGTCTTTGTATTCCCCTACAACTGATCATCTCCTTCGCTCCTGCTAAATATTCTGGGAGTTGTCCGGCCTCATTATTTCTACCTCCCATTACTCAGTTAATGATTATAGTACAGCGCCTTATAGGAACAACAATGATCCGCGCCCGCGTCCCCCTTGTCATTCTTGGGAGATGGGCTCTGCCGCCCTTTCTTGACTCATCTTATATCTACTTGTGGGTCGTAATTTGTTAGGTATATTAGGTGCCCGGGTATCAATCCGATGTACTCTTTCCTTTTAGTTGTTGTCCCCTATATTCTGGCGAGTTATCCCATGATTGGTCGTATTATTTTCCCCCTCTGATACTTCCCTGCACCCCTACGGGACCTTAGACTCCCTTTTGAACTCTTTGAGAGTTGTGACTTCTATCTGTCTTTTGTTTCCACGACTGTTGAGTTCCATCATTATTATATTTCTCGGCCATGAGCCTCAGCCCTCTATGTGCGTGTTTCTCATTGCTACACACTGTGGTCCATTGATGAATTTCGATGGCTGGGTGACTGTCCTAGTTTGTTCAGTGCTGTCAGGGAGTCCGACTCTAATTTGTCTGGCCTCCTAATGTTTGAGGTTAATTTTTGGTGTTATGTTATCTTTTATTACTGACTTCCTCTGGCTTCAATTTAAGGTATTAATTGCAGGATCTGTTCTGTTGCATTCTTTTGCCTGTGAGACGCGGTTGATGGGTGTAAACGTCCAGTGAAGAGTCCCTTCTGGGGCAGTATTTGGATCCGCAGTTCCTTTCCTGAATACTGTAGATTTCTGTTAGGCTCCATTGTTTCCTGCTTACTTTCAGGGGCTTCTATTGCACTTTCTTATGAAGGTGGTTGCATGGATAGTATTGTCCATATTTTGGATTAATCTTACTTGTTTTCCTAGAAACCTTTGGTTATTTTTGGCCAACTGTTTCATATTAGCTACTGTCATGAGTCACATTGCTGGCTTATCTATTCTCATTACTACTTCACACTGGTCTATCCTGTTCTCCGTTTATCTGGTGCTCAAGGAGTGATGTTGGATAATTAGAGGTGCGCATTGCCTGGGAGAGGTATTATTTTTGCGAGTTGGAAGATACTTTGGTTATTTTTGCTTATTACTCCTCCCCTGCCTCCTCTTTTGGCGATTTGTTGTACACACACTGATTTCTATTAACTCCTCAGATTTTATACGGACTTTCCTTTCCTTAATTGTGAGAGGCTAAATTCAGTTGTGCGTCTCATATGACTTCCTTCTCTTATAATGTTGGAGAAGTTAAATAATTTTCTATACCGTCACTCCAGAGACTCTCGTCTGGTTGACTCCTCCTTCCTACCCGCGCCAGGGTTTTAGGATTGGTATACCCCTTCTCACACACTTCTTCCTGCTGTTATAGGTCTTGTGGTGCAGTTACGGGTGGGGTTCCTCGGGGGGGGGGGGGGCCCTGGGGGTACTGCGCTTCCTACTGACGCCACCTTCTTACTTTTTTTAGGCAGAATTCATATAAGCTAGGATTCTATCGCCACCTAGATTGTTCCCCAGTATATTTTGGTGGCTTTTCCCTCTTTTGAGAGGTGTGTTTCGCGTTAGGGGAAAGGAGGGGCTCCTCTGCTGTGGTTGGCGCTCGTAAGCTGTAAGTTGTTGTATACGGTTTCACTTTTGACTTAACCACCATGCCATAAGACCTTACGGGGAATTACAGGCTGTTTTGGGATACTTTACTGCCAGGCTTAAACCCCAGGCCACTATATCGGATATGACCCCCCATATTATTTTTGCTTCTGGGTTAATGCCTTCCTGCTGGGGCCATAATCTGATATTAGTAGGGCTCCGTTGTTTGGCCCCGCAAGTTCTTGCCGGCCTTAGAGGGGTCTAGACATGGTCAACCTCTTTCGCTTGCTTATTCGAAGTTCCCCATATCCTCATCTGCTCTCCCTTCCTTCCTTTTCCTTGGGGGGGTTGTTGCATTTTCCTTCAGTTTTTGGTGTTTATTGACTTTGGGAGATTTGCCATTGAATTGGCCGTCTGCCAGTCCCGTATTATATCCTATTTTGGATTTGTCTCCCCCCCTTGCAGATTCTTTCTCTTAACCTAATATTGCCTTCTAAGAAATGTAGGGATTAATTATTTCCCGCTGGTCACCTTCATCTTCATTTAGATGTCTGAGTGGTATCCCTCTTTACCACTTTGCCTTCGCCTTATTTCTTGGATTCTTAGTTCTGTCTTATTCACGTAAATTTTATCCAGATATTTCCTCTTTAATCCTAGTCCTCCACTCCTTTCCTGCCAGGAGGTTTAAGAACGTTTTCTTCTTCCTCTATGCCTCACTTGATCCTGGAAATTTGGACAGGAGGTATCTTTTAGTTCAGTTTGACTACCTGGTTTTCCCCCCACATAGTAGCCAACTCTATTTTTCCGGTTATCATTATCCTAGGGAACTTTAATTCGGCTGCTTAGACACCCACGTGAGGTGTCTGCTTCCTTTTCCAGATCTGTTATACCCTTTCCGGTATCTAGTGCTAGGATTCTTCCGCAACTTCTTAGAAATTCTCCAAATACCTCTGTGGACGCGCTACCTATCCACTGTGCACCCCCCTTCAATTTTTTGCTATTCCTATCTACGGCCCGGGGGGGCACCTGGCCAGGCACTCTTATCATTACTACTACTGTGTGCCCGCCTCAACCCTACGCCTCCTGTCTAAGACTATTGGATTTCTCCTTCCCCGTATCCGTACTCAGATTACTTCTGTTCTTACTTGTTCGTGCCCCCCGGTTGTGGGGTGTGGAGGCCTTTTGTCCTTGAAGGTTTCTCCCTTCCTCCTAGGCCCATTGATACAGCTGCTTGACTAATAGATTCTTCTGTTGACTTACTGGACTCGACGTCTCACATGTTTTTCAGTTAGGCCTCGGTTTTCCTTCGATCATTCGTTCCACCCTCCGTTGTTTCCTGCTAGAAGTGTGGCGGTCC